TGTGTGTCTCTGCATTGCGTGTGCCATGAGCCGCGCCTGTGATTATGTGAAACGGAAGCCAGAAAGCATCTAATCGAGACAATCGCAGGACTGCTGCCAAGAACAAAGGCACTTGACTTGTATTATCGGATCGAAAGTATATATTGAAGTTCGAATAACCAGCCATGGAGGATGCTACATCCCAGAACTCGGCTGCCACACCAATGACGCGAGAGAATATACCTCTGTTGAATCGCCAGCGCAGTCGCTGGTATCTTTTCAGGTGAATCATCCATCTCTGGAAGCCCCCCCATGACTCCCCCACTTGCCTGTTCCAGTTACGGTGGATTTTCTCCCGAGGTCTTATCGTCGCTCTGCAGTGATTTACAAATATTTATTCATAAATATGTACCATGCCAGCCCTATAGATAAGGGGTCTTGAGTCCAGCTTGAGTCCCTCACCCACACATACAAACACATTCCGTTATTCTCCTCCTTAGGGGGGGTTTCACTTTTGTTTATCTTTCGAGTTATTATCGATTTTCCCACCAAGGTCGCTCCTTTGCATATTTTTATGGACCTGTCGTTGTGTTTTGAAATTATAATTGGCGAGAATTATTCAAGAGGGGTAATGGGTGGCCAAATAGGGGGTCTCCATATCGATTCTACCTTTAAGGATTGGCGTTAACATGCCAGTTCCCACATAAAACCCATATCTTTTGAATAAGTTTCGATTTTTTGACAAAATTCGTTGTGAAATTTTTCAAAATAATCCAGTTCTATTGATGAACCGTTCCATGAATATCCATTGGAGCCAGAAGGGGGTTTTGTGGTCCACCCGGGAAAGAGACCAGCAGAACAGCAGCAGAGATGCTCCCGATCCACAATCTAGCCGAGAGCTGCCTGGTACTAATCCTTGTCTGTCTTTACAGCTGCTGGCGGAAATGGTTCCGACCGCGAGAACTGCGGGCCCGGACGGTGAACCTGGGACGGGTCAATACGGAGAAGTTCCCGCCGAACGAGATCCGCAACCAGAAGTACAACTTCCTCACCTTCCTGCCGCTGGTGTTGTTCGAGCAGTTCCGCTTCTTCCTCAACCTCTACTTCCTGCTGATGGCGCTGTCGCAATTCATTCCGGACATCCGCATCGGATACCCCTACACGTACTGGGGTCCCCTCGGCTTCGTCCTCATGGTCACCATTTGTCGTGAGGCAGTGGACGACCTGCGTCGCCACCAGCGGGATCACGAGGTCAACTCGCAGAAGTACAAGCGGCTGTCGGCCACCAACGGAAGTGGCTACGAGATGGTGCCCAGCTCCAAGCTGAAGGTCGGCGACGTCATCATCGTCGAGAAGAACGAGCGGGTGCCGGCGGACTTGATCCTCCTGCGCACCAGCGACCGCAGCGGCTCCGTCTTCGTGAGAACCGACCAGCTGGACGGAGAAACGGACTGGAAACCCCGCCTGGCTGTCCCCTACACCCAGAAGCTAAGTCGCGACTCGGAGCTGCACAGCATCGACGCCAGCTTTTATGTGGAGAAGCCGCAGAACGACATACACAGCTTCATTGCCACCTTCTGTATGACGGACGGCAGCGAGGACACCGGGCTCAGCGTGGAGAACACCCTGTGGGCCAACACAGTGGTGGCCGCGGGCACAGCCACTGGCATTGTCATCTACACGGGCTGCGAGACGCGCAGCGTGATGAATAACTCGCAGCCCAGGTCCAAGGTGGGTCTGCTGGACATGGAAATCAACGGATTGACTAAGGTGACTACCCAAAGGACTATCCTCGAGACCCACGCTAACCTTGTGCTCCTTTCAGGTACTCTTCTGCGCCGTACTGGGCCTCTCGCTAGTCATGATGATGCTGAAGGGCTTCAGTGGTCCCTGGTACCGCTACATGTTCCGCTTCGTGCTGCTCTTCTCCTACATCATTCCGATCAGTCTCCGCGTGAACCTGGACATGGGCAAGGCCTTCTACTCCTGGCAAATGCAGAACGATTCCAACATCCAGGGCACCGTGGTGCGATCGACGACCATACCAGAGGAGCTCGGCAGGATATCGTACGTGTTGACGGACAAGACGGGCACTCTGACCCAGAATGAGATGGTCTTCAAAAAGATTCACCTGGGCATAGTGTCCCACGACGCGGACACCTTCCACCACATAGGGCAGATGATACAAAAGCTCTCGGGAAATATTCTGCAACAGCAGCAGCAGCAGGGCAACGTGTCCAGCTCCAGCAGCGGCGGAGAGTCCAACAAACCGATTATGTTTGCCGGCAACAGGATGCGTCGCCCGGAGGGCTGGAGGGAATGGGAGGCAGTGCGAGCTTTGGCCTTGTGCCACAATGTCACACCAGTTAGCGACGACGAGGACAACCGGTCGGTGTCCACGGCCTCGACGGTCACGGGCGGAAACAACTCTCCCACCAAATCTGTGATAAACATCGAGGCCCCCGGCAGCACGGACACGGAGCACCAGTACCAGGCCGCCTCGCCAGATGAGATTGCACTGGTCAAGTGGACGGAGCAGGTGGGCCTGACCCTGATCGCCAGAGATCTCAACTCCATGACGCTTCAGGTGAAGACCCCCAGCGAAGACAGTAAGTGATTTAAATGGGTAACTTGGTTGATATCCTAACTCCTTGGTTCTGTTTCAGATGACATCCTCCTGCATTACCAGATCCTGCAGCTGTTCCCCTTCACCAGCGAGAGCAAGCGCATGGGCATCATCGTGCGCGAGAGCAAGTCGGGCCAGATAACGTTCTACTTGAAGGGAGCCGACGTGGTCATGTCCACCATTGTGCAGTACAACGATTGGCTCAGCGAGGAATCGGGCAACATGGCACGCGAGGGTCTGCGCACACTCGTCGTGGCCAAGAAGGTCCTTACCGAGGAACAGTATTCGGACTTCGAGATGCGCTACAATGCCGCCCGCCTCAGCATAACCGACCGAGTGGCCAAGGTGGCTGCCGTCACCGAATCCCTAGAGCGGGAGATGGAACTGCTGTGCCTCACGGGCGTGGAGGATCGTTTGCAGGAGAACGTGCGACCAACCCTGGAGCTTCTACGGAATGCCGGCGTTCGTGTCTGGATGCTGACGGGCGACAAGCTGGAGACGGCTTGCTGCATTGCCAAGTCCTCGCAGCTGATTGGACGGAATCAGGGTCTACACGTGCTTCGGTCTGTCAAGACGCGTACGGATGCCCACCAGGAGCTGAATAACTTCCGGCGCAAACAGGGTCATGCCCTGGTCATCTCGGGAGAGTCCCTGGAGGTGTGTCTTCAGTTCTACAGACCGGAGTTCCTGGAGCTGGCTACAGCCTCACCGGCCGTGGTGTGCTGCCGCTGCTCGCCCACCCAAAAGGCCCAGGTGGTGGCCCTCATCCAGAAGCATACCGGCAAGCGAACATGCGCCGTGGGCGACGGCGGCAACGACGTCAGCATGATCCAGCAAGCAGATGCCGGCGTGGGAATCGAGGGCCGCGAAGGCCGACAGGCATCTCTGGCCGGCGACTTTAGCATTCCACAGTTCTCGCACATCGCTAAGCTGCTGCTTATCCACGGCCGGCGAAGCTACAAGCGATCGGCGGCCCTCTCGCAGTTCGTCATCCACCGAGGACTGATAATCACCACCCTGCAGGCGGTGTTCTCAGCGGTTTTCTACCTCAGCTCGGTGGCTCTCTACCAGGGTTTCCTCATGGTCGGCTACTCGACGCTGTACACCATGTTCCCCGTCTTCTCGTTGGTACTCGACCAGGACATCACCTCCGAAACAGCGGTCACGTATCCAGAGCTCTACAAGGATCTGTCCAAGGGCCGAAGCTTAAGCTACAAGACCTTCTTTATATGGGTGCTGATCAGCATATACCAGGGCGGGGTCATCATGTATGGAGCGCTGATACTCTTTGTCGACGAGTTCATCCACATTGTGGCCATCAGCTTCTCGGCTCTGATCATGACGGAACTGATCATGGTGGCCCTCACAGTGAGGACTTGGCATAGGTAACAATATGGCACTAACTTTTTAAGAGAGTATTTTATGAATAATATCCCTTTCAGGTTAATGGTGCTGGCCGAGCTCTTCAGTTTGGCCCTCTATCTAATATCACTGGCCGTGCTACACGAGTATTTCGGTGGGTACTTCCTACTACTTCCTTCCTTCTGACTGATTTAATATATTTAACCTATTTTATAGACTGGGAGTTTATCTGGTCTTACGACTTTCTATGGAAGGTCTCCCTCATCACGCTGGTCTCCTGTCTACCCTTGTACATAATCAAGTTCTTGCGCAAGAAATGTTCGCCGCCATCCTACTTGAAGCTCTCATAGATCCGTTGATGGCCTGGCGTTGAATATTTTCCAATGGATTCCTTCTACGATTTTCGTTTGTGCGTTTCGTTCACAATTTAAACCCACTATTATTATTTATTATGTGCTACGTTGTTTTTTCTCATCGTCTGTCGTCTCGTTTTGCCAACAACCGCACCAACCCAAAATATTCGTGATATCAGGTTAAACTACTCCCCCTACCCCCGGACACACCACTGTCGCTTGATGATGCTTTTTGTTTAATTTGTAAAGTTACACAATACACTGTGCAAGAGACAAAGTGATTCGATTATCGTAATATATAGAAAACCACACACAGAACCGATTCTAAGTTGTAAACGTGAGGCGTAAATAAATGTTTATTGTATTTCAATTTTGTATACCTGAGTGTATTTGATTAATAATTAAGTCCAACCGAAAACCAAATTATGTTACTAATTATTTAATGTTAAAATAAATTAATAATATTTGTAACTATGACTAAAACTGAAATCAATTACGATGGTATGAAGAGAATTGTAAAACGACAAATAGATTTTTTATTAAGGTTTAGAATTGGATTGTGAAATAATGACTTACAAATAAATGAATATATATATATCTACAGAAACTAATTAAATAAAAAGTCTTTTAATTATCTTTTACCTTTAATTACCTGCAATGAATAGTCAGATTTGTTTTATTGTACGTTTTTATTTACCATTTTGCTTGACATTTTACTTTGGTTTATTACTAATTCACAATTCTTTGCTTGAAATACATAATAATTTGTTAATAATATTATATATTATATTATGCATGCACGCACATGTACAAACATGCATTCGCACGTAAGCTAATAAATTTGTATTTATTATATTCTTCGATTTCTGGTTTTTGGTAATATAATAGTTTAGCTTTTGCTAGGCTTCTGTTAAAATGCTTGCCATTTTTTGCTCTTACACTCGCATGATCTCTGAACCCTTTCTTCTTGCTTGGATTCATGGGAATCCCCTTTTTCAATTAATGTTTTCGTAAAACTTTGGATGCAGCAATGTTTTACGGTTTTGCTTAAATGCGCAGAAATACTTTTGAAGTAAACAAGTTTGCCTGTTGTTTATAATTCTATTCAAATTTCACAATTACATTGAAATTTAATTTCGTCAACAACACATGCAGTTTTTTATATATTTGGTTTCTTATTTGTTTTTTATTGGGGTGCCTTTGTAAAATAACATTTTGATTTCTGTTGTATACTGAATTTTGTTGAGCTTGTCATGGGATCTAGGACCTGTTGAGCCAACTCCTTGCTAAAAACTCGACTGAGCAACTACACTGCCAACACGTTGCAGTGTATAAAGGTTATCGTCCAATCGATTGGGTTTTCTTAAAGCTTTTCCATTTCCATATTTGTTCAATCAACAATTTCAACTCTAATTACCAACTCTCGGGTACACAATGCTGGGCTACGCATAGGTATGTCTATAGGTATGAGGGATGTATATAGTTGGGATACATATCTTTGATTTTTTTTTTGTTTTTTTTTTGTATATATATGCATCTATGTTGAGACTTTGGTTTTATGTTCTTGTAATCGATCTCTTCTAGGTTACTAAAAATCTACAAAATATAATATTTTAATATTTTTGTTCTCTCTTTTTTTAAATATAGTATTCTGCATATACACATATACTTTGTAATGATTGTTTAACATTTATTCATATTTCTTGATGCAAGTTTTGTTCCTTACTTGGTTTTTTGTTCAGTGTGGTTCTTGATGAGGTCAACTTTGATTTGATTTTGAAACATTTGGTTTTCTTTTTTTTTCATTTACTAGAATGACTTTGGTTTTTTGGGTGATTTTGTCTAATTGTTGATATGTGTTTACTGCTTTTTTAATTTTTTATTTTAGTTTTTATATAGTGGTTAATATGAACTCTTGCATTATTTGGTTTTGGTTTATATTTTTACAATTCCAAAAAGGTTTAATCATTTTCTGTTAGATGTTAAATACTTTCTTTGTCATATATTTATCGTTTTCTCATTTATTTTAATAATATTCAGTCTATATAAACATTCATTTATACATTTATGCTAAATTTCGAAAAAACAAATCGGGAGATTCATGCGAAACTGACTCAAAAACGATGCTCATTTTCAGTTTCCCAACCAAAACTGGTAAAATTTCTCTAAAAGAACTCGAATCAAATCATATAGAAATGGTGAAATAAAGGCCTGCTTTTAATCTGTTCTACGTCGGGTGAGTTTCATGTAAATCTATAAAAAATCAATGGATCTTAAAGTGTTCTCAATAATGCAAGTGTTGTATGGATGAATGTATAGGTCTAGTTAGGGCATGCTAGTTGCACTTGTTTCTGTATATTTCATTAAATATTTTTGGATATTTTGTTTAGCTTTTTTGTTAACACATTCCTCTTGACGAGTTTTATTCATTGCATTTGGTTTTTGGTTTTTATTCTTATATGGCTTCTGATTTTTGTTAGTTTTTTCTTTCAAGATGTCTATACCATTACCATTGTTGAACTATTTCCTTAACTGGTTTGCTTATGCCTTTGAATATAGATAGAATTCGATCAACATAGACGAAAACAACTATTTACATACATATAAATACACATAGGCATGTATATTTTATTTAAGCTTGCTTTATAATCTAATCCATAGTAATTAATTGTGGTAGCTGTCCCAGTCACATGCAGAAACCAACAAAAGGAAAACATCTGAGCCTTTTTCGGGTCAAGGGGTAGAATGGCCTTCGGGCCATTTGGTTTTGAGCAAAAAGTAATCATTTCAGCCATATACTTTCGAAGATAATATGCTAAAATCTTTAATTCGGATATTATTTGTAATATAAGGTCGTGCTTTGTAGAATAATGTTTATTAGAGTGTTCCAGGAGCATTCCGCTGGGGGAAAATATCCGTACAAATAAAAGTATTATATTATATCAATACACTAATTACTAAGCAAATCAATGCCAAGCATATCCTAAAATTAATGCTTTTCTCTATATTTGGTTTAGTGCTTTCAAGCTTCATCATAAAAACTGCCAATTTAGTTTGCCAAGTCCCACCAAGGCCCAACAGTCCAGGAGCAATCCCATCCAAGTGTTCCTAGTTTTTGGAGTTGGAAGTACTGCCCCTTGGAAGGTTGGGCCTTGGATGGTTGGCCTTACACCTGCACCGATATTTAAAATTTAATGGGATTAATGGTAAATTAGCTATGTAAAAAATACTTAAATTAAATCATTTTAGGCAGTATGTTTTTTTTTTCTATAGCTTGTTGCTGTTGCTGTTCGTAATGGGCCGAAAATAACTTGAACGGTTTTTTGAACACAATTGCGTTAAGACGAGACTAAAAACTGAGCTTCAAATAAACTATTGCGAGTGTTAATACTTGTTGTGGTTCAACTTAGTCCATTAAAACGTTTTAAAATTCTCGAAAGGACTTGCCAAAAAGGACTACAGTTGGCTATACTCAACGGTAGTCGGTAATGCCTTGTTAAAAAGGAACTTTTCTAATCTTTCTAAACTTATTTTATGCTACAAGTGCGCGCCAGCACACTGACAACGAGAAGCATCTACACACGTACAAAAATTGGCAAAGCTTTTACAAAATTACGAAACTACGGTTACAAACTACTTTGCCAACGCACAAAAAAAATTATCATTACCAAGTGCAATACTGATCCGAATCGATCCAACCAATCGATTCGTCCTGGCAGAGACACATATTCGGAGAGGCGCCACGAGACGCCCCTCCCAAAAGCAATTCTAAAACTCTAACCACTGGACTCAGGCGCGGAGGTGGCGCTGCTCCTCGCTAATGGCGCTGCGCGTCGCCTCGCACTGGGCACAGTGCTTCTCCAGAAACTTCATGGACAAGTGGAACGTATACCGGTGCCGGGTGCAACGCCTTTACATCTTGTACTCGACGATCTTGTTGGGGTTGAGGAACTGCTCCCGCTGCGACGCCTCCAAATGGGCCACGGTGCGCGTCAAGGCCGAGCCCGAACCAGATCCCGATCCGGCTCCCTGTCCACTACCCGAGGAAGACTTGTGCTTGCCATCGCCACTGCCACTGCCACCTCCGCTGGTGCGTCCAGTGTCCGTACCAATCGGCTGGTACACGCCCTCGGCGCTTATCACGCCCACATTCACTCCGGCGACCACAGGCTGTTGCAGATACCCGGAATATTGCGGCGGCAGCTGGTAGCTGCCCGGCGGTTGCTGCTGCTGCTGTTGGTTGCTGCCCGCCCGCGGCTGCTCCGTGTGGGCAATGGGGTATTGCTGCTGATGGGCGTACTCCTGGCTGCTGCCCAAAGCGCCAGCGGCACCCACCGAGCCACCAGCTGCCCCGCCGCCACCGCCACCGGAGCCCATAATGCCACCGCCTCCACCCATCCGCGATCCGGAGTCGTCGTTGAGACCCTCGCCCATTTCCCCGTCCCTGTTGTGCCGTCCACGGATGCACAGCTTGGTGAAGAGCCAGACGCGGCCGCGGTACAGAAGGTAGCAGCAGAAGTGGACAAAGAAGGTGAAGATTATGGCGCAGGCCGTCACAATGATCGCCTTGCCCGGCTTGGTCCAATCCATCATCGGATAGATGGCGGTTTGGTTTTTTCTGCAAGTGATCGAAAATTAATATAATTTTTAGGAAATTAATCATTTATAATATATATTACAAGGAAAAGACAATATGGACCCGGGCAAAGCCCATCCATTTTCTGATATGGCTGACTAAAGGGGTATATCTGCGCCAATAATTATCAGATTATTGAGCGGAATACCTTAAACGATTTCTAGATAGATTCTCCACCATTCTGCATCAAAATCCTTAGACAAAATATTTTTTAAATTTTTTGCCCATTTTTCGTGAGGGATCCCTAGAAAATGGGGTTTTTCCTTATAGGGTCCACAGTGATGGCTATATCTTCCCCAATTCCCATCCGATTCTCAAGCGGAGTACCTTAAACGATTTCTAGATCAATTTGCCACCATTCTGCATCAAAATCCTTAGACAAAATATTTTTTAAATTTTTTGCCCATTTTTCGTGAGGGATCCCTAGAAAATGGGGTTTTTCCTTATAGGGTCCACAGTGATGGCTATATCTTCCCCAATTCCCATCCGATTCTCAAGCGGAGTACCTTAAACGATTTCTAGATCAATTTGCCACCATTCTGCATCAAAATCCTTAGACAAAATATTTTTTAAATTTTTTGTCCATTTTTCGTGAGGAATCCCTTGAAAATGGGGGTTTCCCCTATGGGGTCCACAGTGATGGCTATATCTTTCCCAATTCTTATCCGATTCTCAAGCGGAGTACCTTAAACGATTTCTAGATCGATTTGCCACCATTCTGCATCAAAATCCTGAGACAAACTATTTTTTAAATTTTTTGTCCATTTTTCGTGAGGGATCCCTTGAAAATGGGGTTTTCCCCTATAGGGTACACAGTGATGGCTATATCTTCCCCAATTCTCATCCGATTCTCAAGCGGAGTACCTTAAACGATTTCTAGACCGATTTGCCACCATTCTGCATCAAAATCCTGAGACAAAATATTTTTTAAATTTTTTGTCCATTTTTCGTGAGGGATCCCTTGAAAATGGGGTTTTCCCTTATAGGGACCACAGTGATGGTTATATCTTTCCCAATTCTTATCCGATTCTCAAGCGGAGTACCTTAAACGATTTCTAGAACGATTTGCCACCATTCTGCATCAAAATCCTGAGACAAAATATTTTTTAAATTTTTTGTCCATTTTTCGTGAGGGATCCCTTGAAAATGGGCTTTTTCCTTATAGGGACCACAGTGATGGCTATATCTTTCCCAATTCTTATCCGATTCTCAAGCGGAGTACCTTAAACGATTTCTAGATCGATTTGCCATCATTCTGCATCAAAATCCTAAGACAAAATATTTTTTAAATTTTTTGTCCATTTTTCGTGAGGGATCCCTTGAAAATGGGCTTTTTCCTTATAGGGACCACAGTGATGGCTATATCTTTCCCAATTCTTATCCGATTCTCAAGCGGAGTACCTTAAACGATTTCTAGATCGATTTGCCATCATTCTGCATCAAAATCCTAAGACAAAATATTTTTTAAATTTTTTGTCCATTTTTCGTGAGGGATCCCTTGAAAATGGGGGTTTCCCCTATGGGGTCCACAGTGATGGCTATATCTTTCCCAATTCTTATCCGATTCTCAAGCGGAGTACCTTAAACGATTTCTAGATCGATTTGCCACCATTCTGCATCAAAATCCTGAGACAAAATATTTTTTAAATTTTTTGTCCATTTTTCGTGAGGGATCCCTTGAAAATGGTGTCTTCCCTTATAGGGACCACAGTGATGGTTATATCTTTCCCAATTCTTATCCGATTCTCAAGCGGAGTACCTTAAACGATTTCTAGACCGATTTGCCACCATTCTGCATCAAAATCCTGAGACAAAATATTTTTTAAATTTTTTGTCCATTTTTCGTGAGGGATCCCTTGAAAATGGGGTTTTCCCTTATAGGGACCACAGTGATGGTTATATCTTTCCCAATTCTTATCCGATTCTCAAGCGGAGTACCTTAAACGATTTCTAGATCGATTTGCCATCATTCTGCATCAAAATCCTAAGACAAAATATTTTTTAAATTTTTTGTCCATTTTTCGTGATGAATCCCTTGAAAATGGGGTTTTCCCCTATAGGGTCCACAGTGATGGCTATATCTTTCCCAATTCTTATCCGATTCTCAAGCGGAGTACCTTAAACGATTTCTAGATCGATTTGCCACCATTCTGCATCAAAATCATTAGACAAACTATTTTTTAGATTTTTTGTTCATTTTTCGTGATGGGATCCCTTGATATACGGAAAGCCCCTTTCCCTAGATGGCCCACATTTAACATCAAGGGTACTGTATACGTTTCGCCTACTGTCTCAGTAAGCTTTTTATTTTTATTTCCTTTATTTTAGGTTACTTACCTGTCAGTGCCTCCAGCCAAAAAATAAATTCCCGTAAATATGGCATAAGCCAGACCAATTCCAGTTGTAAAGTAGGCGTGGCTCATCTTAATCGGATGCCCCACAATGGCCAAGTCAATGAGCATTATAATAGAGTTGAGCACATGGACCATAATATTCAAAGCATCAATCTTGTGGATTTCTGAAATAAAGGCAAAAATAATAAAAATTTCATGATGTCACAATTATTTTAAACGCTTTAAATTTTCCTATATTTAACAATCTTTAGAAATTTATAAACATTCCTAGAAACCACTTAATATTTTGACGATACTTGGTATTTTTACAATTCAAAGGTTACATTTTTATTTGGGAGACCAATTGTTGGTAAATTTTGGCGAGTGCACGTGAAAGTCCCATGTCCTTTTCAGATGTCCATTTGGCTCTTTAGGACTCGACTGAAGAATCGGGTTGAGGATGGGTTAACAGAGTAAAGGATGGCGTTGGAAATGTGGTCAGCGCCGTCCAGGAAGGCGTAGCAACCCAGAAAGTCTACGAGGAGCATCAGCGCACAGAGCGGCTTATCCAGAAGTGGTGGGAAGTTATCGTAGTAGCCGTAGATTACTTGGCCCTGGAACAGGATTACGGGACAGGCCATCTGCCAAAGGGCAAAGTGTACCAGGAAGTGGGAGGCAGGCTCTGTCTCAATAAGGCTAACCAGGACGGAGCAGAGGAACCAGGCGCAGACCGCATATATGTACCATACGAGCAGCAAGTAGCCGAGAGGCGGGCAGCCCGGCAGCTGCCAGTAGGCGAGCATCAGGAAGAAGGACACCATGAACAGGATCTCCACGGTCAAGAGCAACGTACGTAACACCGTCTGCTCGGGTAGAACTGAGACTGTACCCAGAGCCAGGCAGGCGGCTGTGACGCAGGAGGCGATCCAGTTGAACGGGATCTTGAAGCGCATCCAATCCACGCAGACATAAAGGATCAGGATGAGCAGGCCGCAAATGAAAGAGCAGTAGGCAGCTCTACAGTTCGGCACCAAGTCATGATGGGGCAGTAGAGCAGGCAGAAGCAGCAGCAGCAGGGTCAGGAAAGTGAACACCAGAGAAATTCCATAGATCCAAATACACACCTTGAGCCGAAGCCGGTCGACGTCAGTGCCAGGACGATCACTCATCGATGTGGATCGATGTGGTTATGGAAGGGTCAGTGTTGGTGCGAGCGTATACATATGAATAATTTTTTCGTATATTTATATTTTTTGTCAGTGTCACTATTCGAGCTCGGCGTGACAGCTATTATGTTAGGTATTACCAGATCGAGATCAGCCCCGAATCTCAGCGTGAGAACATATTCCTATCCATCCTTTGAATCCTTTGTGAGCCGACATGGCGACGACTCGTGGCACACGTGGAGCCACATCTCCGAGGACAAGGTCTCGTATCCGGTGCGCGCGGATCAAGCCACCTCCTTCACACATCCCATATTGTACCGGAAGCGTTCCGCCCTCTATTTCCGGTGTATTGTGTTCGTATTGCTTGGCATCCAGATGGCCCTCGGCTCGCTCCAGTGGGTGTTCACGACGTATCGCTGGCGTCCCCAATTCACCCATGAGGAGCGCAGTATGTCCGTGATCCTCTTGCTCCTGTCCTGGATCAACCTGATACTGGCCTTCATCGGCTTCCGGCGGCTGCAGTTCACCTTTCCGCTCAACTGGATCGTCTTCGCCAGCGCCTTCGAGAGCCTGACCCTTGCTGGTGATGTGCCTGCGTCTCATCGAGCTGGATCTCACCTGGCCGTTTATGCTGTTCGGCTTCGTCGTTGTGGCCTACTACACCCTCCTGGGAATATGGGTGCCTAGCATGCTGACCGCCAACCTCTGGATCCTCATCGTGGCCAGCATTGTAGTGGTGATTACATCCGGTGTGGCGCTATTCATACGCCTGAAAATGCACTACTACGTGCCCCTCAGCTTCTGCCTGGTCCTGTTCGGTCCCTGGGCCATGTACAACTCGCAGAAGCTCTTCGTGTCCCACATGCGGGAGGCCTACATGACGCACCAGTACCTGGAGGCGGCGGCCAAGATGTACACCAACTATGCGATTACTGTTTGGGCTTTGGTCTACCTCTACCACCTCTCCGACGAAACCTTGGAAAACCCCTGATGGGAGATGATCTATTTGCAATTCGGGGCTGGTATTCTTTTGCAATAATACCTATATTTAAAGCTGTCATGTTACGATTTGCGAAAAGCCCTTCTTAAATATCATTATCCTTATTTGTCAAAATTTGTAAGTTTGTAAGTCTGTAAAAATTGTGACTTATTGTATAGAAAACGTAAAGCCCTCAAAGATGTTCCATCAGTCTTTTCAAAATAATGCAGTTTTTCACAAGAAGCTTTTGTTTCTATCAGACAGGCAGGAACTATAGCTACAAGGAACTCACCTGGGTTGTGGACAAGGAGCCAATAGCACATGGTGACAATGAACGCATAGACCGTGGCACAGGTATATAGCACCCAGTAGAGGTGGTGCAGTCGGCTCTTCTTCGCCTGGCGCACGATCTCAAAGTCCTCCCGCTCCACCATCATTCCCTGAGTGACTATCCAGGCGGCCAGCCAGGCCTGCACGGTGCAGAAGAGCAGGCCCCAGTGGGTCAAGTAGATCCACCACTTGGCGTAGTGGTGCTCGAAGTGCTCCTCCGTGCGCCCGATGTCCAGCAAGGAGCAGACCAGTGCCGCCAGGCAGGTGATGGCCGTGATCCAGCGGTAGAACAGGTACACAATACGCACCTGGGTGTTGCGCTGCCACTAGGGGATTGATGAGTACTGTTAGTAAGGCAACGAATGCCAGAGGGACTCCAAGACTCACCTGACACAGATAGAAGTTGTGGCGGTGCACATGGTCCGGGGTGAACTCCGGGAAGCAGCTGTTCCACAATTTGCTCACCATCATTCTCTGATTGCCCAGGCAACTGCCCGCGTTGGTGGCGAAGTGATTGAAGCCTTCACAGCTGTCCTGCGAAGGATACTGGTAGGAGTGGTAAGCCTGCTGCTGCTGGTGTTGCTGGTGCGGAGTCTGTTGCTCCGGGTAGTACGATTGCTGTTGCTGGCGATGGTGTTGCTGCTGATGGTGTTGCTGTTGCTGATGTTGGTTTTCGTACTGGTACGACTGGTAGCGCAGCTCCTCGGAGCCACGCAGCGACTGGCCACCGCCTCCCACTTCGCCTCCCGATGCTGTACCTCCGGCTCCTCCCCCCGTTGCCGCTGAGCCGTGCTCCTGGGCCTGGAACTCGTGTTGCGGCGGCGTCTTGTGGCTGTGCAGGCTGGCCCGGCCGCTGTCGCCGTAGGGATGAAGAAAATCGGGCAAATCAAGTATGTGCGCCAGCTGCGTGGCCACCTCGTCGTCCTCAACTTCGTCCTCGTCGTCCTCCTCTTGCAGATGGAAGAAGCGCAGTTCCTCGAGACTGGAGCAGTCGGTGGATAGCAGCGCCTGCGGCAGACACTCCTCGAGCAGGTCCTCCTCGTCTTCGGTGGTGCTGGCGAAGCCCGGCAGATAGCCGTAGTTGTCGTAGGCGTCGTACCGCCTGCGGGGCGTGGCCTTATAGTGATAGCCAGTTTGCAGCTCCTGCGCCGCGTTGTAGTCCTGGAACGGCGATAGTCTGGCCGCGGCTTTTGCTGCTGTCGAGACCGCCGCTGCTGCTGCTGTTGCTGCTACCTGGAGGTGGCAATAGAAGGAGTTCATTAGACATGTTTCTCTGGGGATTAAAGGGCTTTTCAACATTCAGTTTAATTACACAAACATAGATACTTGGGTCAAAATCCATCAAAAACAAGACAAAATCAGAAGGTAGAGCTGGAAGTTGTAATCAACATTTTTTATTCAATGTTTTTCTAAGCCCTTTCCAAAACACAACCATTTACAGAATCACACAAGAAACAGCATCACAAACATATAATATTTTTAAAAATTGAAGTATAGAAGGTATAGTCGTTAGTACAAAAAGAAAACTTATGAAAATTAACTAAAACAGTCTTTTGAGATCCCAAGCAGAAGACTAAGAACTAAATTCAATTTCAAACCATATAAATATATAAAATATATGTGTATATTCTTTATTATTATAATATAGTATTTAAATAGCAATAAGAGACACAAATGTACTTTTTGTTAAATTTTTTATTCAATAAGACAGCACAGAACAGACAACAATACAACATCAAAGCTAAGGCAACACTACATTTGAGTAATAAACTTTAACAACAATTTCTACAACATTTATATTTAAACTTTAAACTTTAAACTCATCTTATATAGTAAGATAACCCCATCAAGTAGTTTAAATAAAAATATATTTCTTAGATTATTTACACAAATAAATAAAAAAGACTAAACAATCAGCATGCTTATAGGGAATTTTAAGAAACACTCAACAATAAAACATTTATTTTTTATTTAATACTTCAAGTAAAACTACAAAAATTAACAAAACCATCTTAGAATTAGGAAATTGAATTTTCTTACCGCTGCTGCTGCCGCTGCAGCCGGAGTGGGTGGTGCCGGCGGCGGAGGTGGTACCGTGCGGGTGCTCCGGCTGCTGAAGTAGTAGTCGGTGGCTACACTCGGCGCCGGGGGCGGCGGCGGCAATACCGCCGGTACGGGTAGTGGCGGCAGATAGCCTGGCGAACTGCCCGCTGAGGCTAGCAGGGGCGTCGGCGAGGCATCGAAGTTGATGAGGGCCGCCGCCGGATAACCGCCGCCGGAGTAGCCGCCTAGACTGCGGTAGGAGTACGGATAGGTGGAGCCACCAGTAGCGCCTGTGCCACCGACTCCGCTGCTACTGCTGCTGGTGGTGCCGATATAGATGTGCGCCGAGGTGGAGGGCAGGTGGTACCAGCTGGCTAGGTTGCCGCTGCCCAGACCAAATCCCAGGCCCAGTCCCAGACCCAGGCCGCTGCCGGTGCTGGTGCTGCCGCGGCTGAAATAGTAGCTGTACTGTTGCTGCTGGTGAGCTAGTTGTTGCTGTTGTATATGCTGTTGTTGCTGCTGCTGGGCGGACGGGGCCACGTACTCGTAGTGGCTGCCAGCCAGCCAACGCTGCCTGATGGGCGTGTAGCTCTGCCGATGGGCGTAGAGGAGTTGCTGTTGCTGCAGATGTTGCTCCTGTTGCTGCTGTTGTAGCAAATGTTGTTGCTGCTGCTGCTGTTGTTGTTGTTGCTGCTGCTGCTGATGCTGTTGTTGTTGCAACTGCAACTCCCGCTCAAGTCGCTGCAGCAGCAATTGTTGCTGCAGCTGCTGGATTTGCAGTTGCTGCTGCTGCTGGGCCAGCAACTGCTGCTGCACGAGCTGCTGGTGCTGTTGTTGCTGCTGCTGCTGCTGTAGTTGCTGCTGTTGGCCACTAATTGGCACCGCTCTAAGATAAAACTGCGCGTAATCCAATGTGATGGCGTTCCTCTACAGCTCCGAAGCGCGTCTACCACATTCAGGCTCTTCCGCCGTCTCCCTTTCCCCGCTCTTGTATGTTCTATTGTGGCGTCTGTTTGCTCCTGTTGCAGTTGCAGTTGCAAGTCGTCTGATCCTGTAAGTGGAGCAAGAGGCACACAGGTATGTAAGTTGGCTGCCTTTCACACACGAGTGCCTAAAACAGTAATTAGGCTGGCGTTGAGTATACGCCGTGTGAGCCAAGACGCCAAAGGATAAAGGATAAATGCCTGAAAGGCGTCTTCTTCAAAGGCACTGTTTCGAGCTCACAAATCACTTTTCTGCGACACTAATTTGGTGCGGCTAAGACGATCTCAGTTTCCGAGATATACTAGCTATACAGAGTCAGCTAAATGGAAACCTGAGCACCGAGGTGTCCCAAAGGCTCTGATAACTCGCAGGCAGATAATTTCCTTTGAGTTTGTCATACAAACCGAAAGAAGCCTTTTATCAATTTAGTTTCTTTGACTAAATTTAATCACAGTCAAACTATATAAATTAATTATGATAAACTAAAAATTGTATGTAAAAAGATATTTTATATTAAGTTATTAAAGTTTACTTCCGACAATAGCATCCAACAGGCTTTTGATTAATAAACAAGATCTCAGTCTCTTTCTAGTTCCATTTTACTTTTAAGACTTTAACAACAATTATAGATATTCAACCTTAAAGACATTTTAAGTCTAAATATTTGCTTTTAAAGTTTAAGTTTTGTTCATCAATGCTCAGTTTCTGAAACAGAATTTGTGTCAATTATTTCAGCTCTCCTTTTAATTCCCAGAAAGTTCTGGAAGGATGGCCCATTTTTGTGGACTGTGGCCCACAGTGAACCCTCGGTCGAAGGCAGTTTATCCTTTTGGTCAGAGTGGGCAGAGCAATAAAAGCAAATCAAATCGCGCGTGCCTCAGCAAAACGCAAAACGCAAAATGGCAACCAGGAAACGCCGTTGTGGCCATTTTGGTTGCGTTGCCGTTTTCCGTTTCCCGTTTCTCTGAATTGAGTTGCAACTAACTAGAGTTGAGTTGTCAGATGCATGGGCCGGGGGTAATAGTGGGGCACGAGTGTGCCAGGGACCCAGCTAAATGCATTTGGGTGGGGCGCTTATGCTGTTCGTGCCTTTTGACGTCATCGGCAAATACTTTACTTGCAGCTCTGTTGGTGTTGCTGTTCTTGTGTTGTTAGTGTTATTGGCGTTGTTTACACAGCTGCTGTGGGGCCGCATTTAGTTGTTGCCGCTTCTGCTGGTTGCTGCAACATTTACATTGGCAATTTGCTTGAAAAAGCTCTTACACCATAATCCAACCAGCTCCTAGCACGAGAATGCCCACACACCCACATAGACACACACCCTCCGACTTCCGGCCACAAGTCTCTGTGCCAGGGCCTAACCCGAACTTCCGACATTGCCACCCAGAAGCAAATACCCCTTTATTGTATTAGGTTAGGATGGGTTTAGGGTTCTGAGATGGGTACTTTATTACCAACACACTTAAAATATGACTTTTTTAAATTTCAAAAAATTCAAATAATATTTTACTTATAATTCTCTAAATAAGGTCTCCTCGAGTATTATTATCATAAATTCCTTTATTAAAATTCAAAGGTAAAATTTCTCTAAAGAGTATTCACTTTTCCTTGAGCCTTGCATGTTATTTCCTTGGCATTTAGTTGGCGGCAACTTTTGTTTTAACTTTTTCCTAGTTTCCGCCTTTTTTTCCACTGCCGGGTGCGTGTGTAAAAAACTTCGTTTAACTTGTATGAAAACTATTTGCTTCAATCATTTCAACTCTCTGCTGCCGGATAATATTTAAAATAATAATAAAAAGGAGGGCTTAAAAAAACCAGAGCAAGGATAAAGTTGAGATTCAAGTCTTTTGGATGGGTTTCAAAGTTCGAGTATTTATTTATAGTCCACTTTGGCAGGAAGAAAAGGAACTTTGATAATAGTTTTTTGGTGCGGCAATTAGGAGAGCACGTAGCACGTTGCAGGTCATAAAGCCCAGAATGAATTGCCCAACAATGTTGCAATTGAAATGGAAATTGAAATTTAATGGCTATGCGCGGAGATCGCGCTGCTGCCGACGCCGACACCGACGCCGTTGCGGGGGAATGGCTCAATAGTGGAGCAATTGTGTACTAAAAGTGCACCATAAATTCGCTCAAGTGGCCGCCAGACAAATAAGCACACCAACACACAGGCAGGCAGTCCATCGCCCAGCCAAACACGGAGGACAGACCAATCGGGCGTATGAGCGATATTTGATGAAGCGTGGACAAGGACGAGAGCAGGCCGCACATGACAGAGCACGGCATTAATGCTAATTTTATTCCTAAAACGTGTTTATGCAATCCCCGGCTCTTTAATGTGCCAAACGGCAGATACTAATGTTAAGATTTAAGTATGCTAACTGTTTCCAAAGCACTATTTAATCAGGTCCAAGTTATGTGAAAAGTATTTAAGCTTTTGGCTGGAATTCCCATAAGCAGCGCTCCAATTTCGCTGCCAGTTCGCTGCCAGAGTGAAAATAAATAGAAATTCTGACAAATTACTTGCCAAGCTTTAGATAATGTTGAAATTCTCGCATATGCCCCCAAAGGCATCACGTTTTCTACTTTTCTACTCCACTTTTAGATGAGCACAAAAAAACAAGATGAAAAAATCGAAAAAAAATAAGAGAAAAATTTCGTTTGTTTTAATTAAATTGCATTCTCCACGATGAGGATTCCCATTCCCAGCTGGGTTGAGGGGGAAACTGAAAGACTTTCACTTGGCTGACTTGGAATTTCTGTTAATCAAACGCAGCGTTCAGCATGAAAGTGCTTAATTGTATTATTACATAACTTTTACTTTTGCTGAGAGACATAACATAAAATCGAGGGTGGATGTGCCATATTTCCTTTTCGCCTTCGTTGGCAATTAATCCACGCTCCATCCAAGGATAAATCGATGCGGTCTCAAAGGATAATTAATGCGTCCCAGAGGCCTGGGCATGACAGGAGCGTGGCTAGATATTCGACATAATATCTCCGGTTACTACAACTATTCGACACTATTAGTCTCCAAATTATAAAGCCATGCAAGGCATTTAATTGCAACGTTGTTGGCTTTTAGCTTTTTCGCCTACCATGTCTGGCTTTTGTATTGAAACCTGAATCCTTGTCGAGCTAATGTAGGTTTGCGGAAAAACTGCAGTGCTGCCACAAGCAGCGAGCGAGGGGGCAGTCACATTGACGTGTTTGTTTATGTAAACAGGAAGTGTTGTGCCGCTGGCAGTGTTGCAATGTATAGCCTTTCGAATGGAATCCAAGGTGAGGTGCCACAGCCTGCAACACGACTCTTCCGCATGTCCTCCCATCTATGCCAGTTTATACTTACATACCATACATAGTATATGTTTTTGCAACATATTTGCACACATGAAATTATAGTGAGGCCAACATTTAATGAATGGCCTGCCACCTGTGTCCGCTCTTAATGAGCTAAAGTAGAGGACTGCATCGTGAATGGTTATTGGCAGGCGGATGTTAACTACGGATGTTTGCCAACCAGACCCACACAAGTGTTACTTTCGAGTCCCTGGCATGACTATATTTTATATACTGAGTGGGTTCTAAGAGGCTTAATTCGTTGCTGTGGCTTATTTTAAAGGTTTTTAAATTGTTGACTATATGATACCCGGTACTAGGCTAATGGTTAGCATTAAGTGAGCTATCCCAGCTCCTGTTATTGGCTGCTGCTCATACTTTTAGAGAATCCATTCCACAGCCCTAGAAGCTATAAAGCAGCTTTAAGAGCCTGATATTGATGCAAGTCTGAGGCTGCTTCTGACAGTTGATGTTATGCATATTCCTAAGCTCAATGGAAATGCCACAAGAGTGGTTGCGCAACGAACTGACTGCCACACACTCGTGGGCTTGTGTATCTTGGATATTCGATTACTCGAACGATTGAGAGGAAATCCGGCGAGCTGTAAGAAAATCTTCTTTTAATGGGCGTATTACGAGTCCTGGCCACTATCGGAAATTAATGGGCTGGCATTCGAGTCTCTGGCTTTTCACTTAGCACTTGTTTACGGCACATACAGTTGGCCAGAAGCCGAAAATGTAAAAAAATACAAAACTGCCATAAATCAGAAGCATAAAAAACTGAATGGCCAAAGTCGGGCCAACACAAATATTGCCGCAACAGCATAAAGAAAAGTTTGATAAACTGCTTTGAGAGGGCGAAGTGAAGATTCCCCGACAAGTTTTGCGGCTGACAGTGAAAGTGGAGAAAGTAGAGAAAGCAGAGAAAGTGGAAAAAAATATGAAGGGAAAATATGAATAAGAAGAAATATATTTCCGTCGCCAACAATCAGGTGAAATGGTGCCTTGAAATGCAAAATGTGTCGAGGAAGTTGTCAAAACATTGTGATAACACTCTCTGGCCTCAACAACGACACTTGATAGGCTACTAGGGGGCTACATCCTGACCTTAATTGTGGTTGAGACTTAAATTGTCCTTCTCCTTTAAAGTACATTAATTTCGAAAGAAGAATTTTCGCAGCCAGGCTGTTATTTATTGTTAGACTGCAGCAGCCATGGTAATGTATTTCGACCATGGAATGCATTATACTATAATTTTTCCCGGGAACCACTATCTACATATTTTCAAGGATCTTTTTGCGACCGGCCGTCAGGAGAAATTAATCTGTCGGACGCGAAATTTACGAGGTGTTTGCTTTCCAAAAGGTGTGAATAAATTTTTCTTAAGCTTTTAATCTTTTTTTGATTAATCCTTGATTTTTAAATTCTTCAAGCATTTTTCTTCCTTTGAATATTAACCTTTTGAAGAGGTCCTGTGGCGCAAAAACATTAACTTCCACTTATCGTAAATCAGCTGTTGGTGGGTGACATTCTTGAAAAATCATTCTGGCCGGACCGGGCATATACTGAAGCACCACCAATATGGTTGAATGGCATAAATGGGCGAAAAGGCAAATATGACTTCGATCCGGTTTGTTTCTGCTCTCGAATGTCATAAATCACATAAATGTGTGGCCACATCAGCAGCATCCCGCAAAAAAAAAAGACCAAGAACCCAAAACAATAAAAACGCAACGAGTACCGCAGAATATGGGTTCAATTAAGCAGTAAAGTGGATGATATACGATGGGCTATATCTTGGCCCGGCACTAGTTTGTTAATTTATTGAACTGGTAATGCAAGTGTGTTTGCCTGCGGCAGGGGTTAAAATAATAAGCTGAATGATTGAAAATCCTACAACTGGCCAAAGGCTATGAAACTGCGGCTGCCAGTCAAGGTTGTGTGGTATTTCGGAAAATATATAAACAAGTTGTGGGACGTTGGGGATGGTTGTAGCATAAAAACCACAGACATAACACAACAAAATGCAAAAACTAGAAACTAACAAAAAAAAAGAGGTAAAAAATTGCAGAAAAACATTGAACAGAATGGAGAATGGCAAGACAGGCTGATGAACACAGGCCGACAAATACAGAAAATGCGTTTCATTCCAGGGGCAGGGACAGGGGCAGGGTATGCGAATCAATATGAATCCTAGAATCCAAGCGATGTGCCAGTGGAGGGGAAACCACAATAACAAAGTACTGAATAACGTCAAACTAGACCATGGAAATACCAGAGAGAGAAAAACGAGGCAGGCAGAATGTACCTATCATGGCGTATTCATGGTGCATGCAACGTGCTGCGCCTAAAACTATGCAACGATGCTGGGTCTTCTGCGGTTTTTGGTTGCTGCTGCCTCCACGATTTTTTCTTCCTCCTTGTTTATTATTTTGTATTTCTCCATTTGCCGCTTTGGGGCAAGACAAAGACGCACCACGTTGACCGCAATTAAAGCGGCAAGAAATGCTCAGGTGATGGGTGGCAAGCAGCGGGCAGGGGACAGAAAGTGGGCCAGGTGGAAGCTTTTCTTTCTGCCCAGCCGGGCATAAAGAAACTTCCTAGTGAAGCTCCATCTATTCTTGACAGTTGACTGAAAATTCAGCACAAGAAATTTAATGTCAACCCCCCCTCACAGATATCTTTTTTTGGGAGGAATTTATTTCCGTGGCGACGTGAAAAAAAGAGAAAGACAAAGGCGCCCCACAGAAATGGCAACACAATGCCACATATTTTCTATGTCTTTGACATCAGTTGTCGGAAACGTTTCTGGACAATTCAGTGATAAATTAAATAATGGGAAAATTATAAAGAAAT